CGATACGCTAGCAATGCATCGGCGACAGCTGAAGTAAAATTAGCCTGGCGAAGGACTCAACCACATGTAGCTGTGAGTACCATCGTTGTATGCACCGCATTCGGAGGAGCTCCTTATAGGGCCACGAGACGTGTGAGGAGTGTGCGAATAGTTCTCCGGTGGGCGCATGCGAAAGCAGCCCGTTGGGCCGTCGGTGGCATTCCCTATGGGGCCACGAAACGCGTGAGAGGTGTGCCGAAATAGGTGCGGTCAGCCGTGCCGAAATGGGTGCGGTGGGCGCATGCGAACGAAGCCACTAGCGCCTTCGGTCGAGCTCCACATGGGGCCACGAAGTGCGTCAAGGGTGTGCCAAAACGTGCGTGGGCGACGCATGCGGGCGGTGGCAATGCGGCCTTCGGTGGAGCTCCCTCCCTCTAGGGCCACGAGACGTGTGAGGGATGTGCCGACATGGGTGTGGGTGGCGCATGCGGGCGGTGGCACTGGGGCCTTCGGTGGAGCCCCCTACGGGGCCACGAAACGCGTGAGGGGTGTGCTGGAATGGGCGTGGGTGACGCATGCGGGCGGCGGCAATGGGGCCTTCGGTGGAGCTCCCTATGGGGCCCCGAAACGTGTGAGGGGTGTGCCGAAAAGGGTGTGGGTGACGCATGCGGGCGGTGGCACTGGGGCCTTCGGTGGAGCCCCCTGCGGGGCCCCGAAACGTGTGAGGGGTGTGCCGAAAAGGGTGCGGGTGACGCATGCGGGCGGTGGCACTGGCGCCTTCGGTGGAGCTCCCTATGAGGCCACGAAGCGTGTGACGGGTGTGCCGGAATGGGCGTGGGTGACGCATGCGGGCAATGGCACTGTGGCCCTCAGCAAAGCTCCCACGGGGACCACGGAACGCGTGAGGGGTGTGCCGAAACGTGCGTGGGTGACGCATGCGGGCGCTGGCACTGGGGCCTTCGGTGGAGCTCCCTCCCTCTGGGGCCACGAGACGTGTGAGGGGTTTGACGAAACAGGTGTGGGTGACGCATGCGGGCGGTGGCACTGGCGCCTTCGGCGGAGCTCCCTATGGACCATGAAACGAGTAAAGGGTGTACCAATGCCGTGCGTGGGTGACGCATGCGGGCGGTGGCAATGGGGTGTTCGGTGGAGCTCCCTCCCTCCAGGGCCACGGGACGTGTGAGGGGTGCCCCGTAATGGGCGTGGGTGACGCATGCTGGCGGTGGCACTGGGGCCTTCGGTGGAGCCCCCTACGGGGCCACGAAACGCGCGAGGGGTGTGCTGGAATGGGCGTGGGTGACTCATGCGGGCGGTGGCACTGGCGCCTTCGGTGGAGCTCCCGTACGGGGCCACGAAACGTGTGAGGGGTGTGCCGAAATGGGTGTCGGTGACGCATGCGGGCGGTGGCACTGGGGCCTTCGGTGGAGCCCCCATACGGGGCCACGAAACGCTGTACTGGGTGGGCGAAACGCACGGAGGAAGGAGGAGGGGGAGGAGGGGGAGGAGGGGGAGGAGGGGGGGAGGGAGGAGGGGGAGGAGGGAAGAGGAAGGAAGGACGGAGACGCGGGGACCGTCTCTTCAAAACGAGGACCCAGCACAACAGGATGGTTCGGACAAAAAAAAACGGGCCCCAGATCGCGCCGCATGGCCGATGCGGCGCAATCCTTCGACCGCCCCCGTTGAGAGGTCTGGATCCTCCACCTCCCCCTCCTCCTTCCTCCTTGTGCACGGCCTCCTCTTCCTGATCATGACCTTCCATATTGGGGAAAACGATTCACCCAAGCGCTAGGAGCAGTCCAGCAGGCGCAGCTCAATAACGCTACTGGACCCTGAACCCCAGAGAATGGATACTCAAACTCCACAGAAAATAATTAGCCTGACGAAGGACCCAACTATATGTAGCTGCGAGTGCCGCATTGTGGGTACCGCTTTTGGTGGAGCTCCATATGGGGAACCGAAGCGTGCGACGGGTGCGCCGACATAGGTGGCGCGGACGCATGTGAACCCTGCCACTGGAGCCTTCGGTGGAGCTCCCTATGGGGCCACGAAGCGCTGTCCTGGGTGGCGGCGACGCGTGCAGTCACTGCCACCGGGGCCTTCGGTGGAGCTCCCTATGGGGCCACAAAGCGCTGTCCTGGGTGGCGGTGACGCATGCGGACCCTGACACTGGAGCCTTCGGTGGAGCTCCCTATGGGGCCATTCAGCGCTGTCCTGGGTGGCGGTGACGCATGCGGACCCTGCCACTGGAACCCTCGGTGGAGCTCCGTATGGGGCCGCGAAGCGCTGTCCTGGGTGGCGGTGACGCATGCGGGCCCTGAAACTGGAGCCTTCAGTGGAGCTCCCTATGGGGCCACGAAACGCTGTCCTGGGTGGCGGTGACGCATGCGGACACTGCCACTGGAGCCTTCGGTGGAGCTCCCTATGGGGCCATTAAGCGCTGTCCTGGGTGGCGGTGACGCATGCGGACCCTGCCACTGGAGCCGTCGGTGGAACTCCCTAAGGGGCGAAGAAACGCTGTCCTGGGTGGCGGTGACGCGTGCGGGCCCTGCCACTGGAGCCTTCGGTGGAGCTCCCTATGGGGCCATTAAGCGCTGCCCTGGGTGGCGGTGACGCGTGCGGACCCTGCCGATGGAGCCTTCGGTGGAGCTCCCTATGGGGCCGCGAAACGCTGTCCGGGGTGCGGGTGCCGCATGCGGACGCAGCCACTGGGGCCTCCGGTGGAGCTCCCTATGGGGCCACGAACCGTGTGAGGGGCGTGCCGTAATGGGTGGCGGTGACGCATGCTGATGCAGCCACTGGGGCCTTCGGTGGAGCTCCCTATGGGGCCACGAACCGTGTGAGGGGTGTCCCGTAATGGGTGGCGGTGACGCATGAAGACGCAACCACAGGGGCGTCCGGTGGAGCTCCCTATGGGGCCACGAACCGTGTGACGGGTGTGCCGAATTGGGTGGCGGTGACGCATGAGGACGCAGCCGAGGCGGCCTTCGGTGGAGCTCCCTCTGGGGCCACGAACCGTGTGAGGGGTGTGCCGAACTGATGGTGATGATGATGGTGACGGTGATGCTGATGATGGGGAAGGGGAGGGGGGGCAGCGGGACGAAGGACGCGGGCGCTGTCTGTTCAAAACGAGGACCCAACACCACAGGATGGTTTGGAAAATCCTGAGGACGCCACCATCACATGAGGGCTGGCGCACGCAAAACGCTCCCCCCAGACGGGTCGCAACAACCTGGCGCCCGCGTCAAGGTGGACTCTGTCCTCCCTCCCTCTGCCAGGTCTCCAGAGACCCTGGATCCGAAAGAAACAAACTCACAGGCACGGTGGGGGCATTGGATAAGGAACCCTTAGATCAGGAATCCAAGGTTTGACAGCCTGCGGACCTCCGATCGTGGATCGGCCACGGATAACACCACCGTCCCCGTTGGATAAAAGAACCTCCCAGGGTCTACGGCCTCTTAGAATGAAGGGGCCCTGGGACACACAAATAAATAAACACAAATAAACATATTCCCCAAATGTTTCAATGCTTGTTTCTGGGATTATGTCTTCCCCCCACCTCCCATATTTTCCCGTATTTTCTTTGGAATCGGCGAATACTTGTGTCTGCATGTTTTGGTTGTCCCTCCTGAGTCTCGGAAGCATCCCTCAACGAACGCCCCCACCGCACTTCCTTTTCTTCAAAGCCCTGTGCCCAAGAGCCTGCAGGAGGACGCCTAGTGGGGGGTCTGCTGAAACCTGCCGAAGCCGGCGCGCGAGATGCCTGTGCACCACACGAGATGGACCCCAGACGGGGGCGCGCGTCGAGACGCGGGCTGCCACGACCCACCGCACTTCCACCGCCCTCCGCCGGCGGACCCCTCCGCCGCTCTCCCTCCGCCGGCCGCCGCCGAGGCCGCAGCGCGAGCCCGCGGGGAAGGCCGCCTTCCTGGACGGCCCCAGGCGCAGGCGAACAGCCGTCGGAACGGGAGGCCCACGCTCCCAAACGTTCCCAAGCGCTCCCTGGCGCTCCCAAGCGCCCCCAGGCGCTCCCAGGGGCTCCCAGGCGCCCTCAGGCGCTCCCAAGCGCTCCCAGGCGTTCCCAGGCGTTCCCAGGCGCTCCCAGGCGCTCCCAGGCGCTCCCAGGCGCTCCCCAGGCGTTCCCAGCACGCTCCCAAGTTCCCAGGCGCTCCCAGGCGCTCCCAGGCGTTCCCAGGCGCCCCCAGCACGCTCCCAAACGCTCCCAGGCGCCCCCAGGCGCCCCCAGGCGCTCCCAGCTTCCTGCCATCGGCAGGAGGATGCCCGGCCAGAACCGGGACAAAACCCGAACGGCACGCATCGGGGAGCTCTGGGACCCGGCGGTCCTGGAGGAGGTATCGGGCGCCTCGGCCGTCCCGGAGCCTTTCAGAATCATCTGAGAGCGTTCCCATGGATACGACGTCACGAACACATTGCAACATCGTAAGAAAATCACAGCTGGGGCGCCAGACCACTTTCCCCTGCAACATTCGTCGAGCCCCTTTTTGACTTGTGAAGGTCCCCGGGGCCGACACCCGGCGAAAACACCGGTTGTGGCACAATTGCGACGCCAGGATCGCAAGTGTCAGGCACGATCTATCCCAGCCCGCGGCCCGCTCGACACTCCCCTTCCCTCCCTTCGCTGCGCACTCGAAGGGTCGACCCCGGACCCTCTCCCGAGGCACTTCCCGGCCAGGGCTTCGAGGGAGATCCAGCCGTGGCGGCGAGGGGCCTCCCAGAGGCACCGCCCAAGCCCAGGCGTTCAAAAATCGCACCGAAAAACGTCGTCGTCGTCGTCGTCGTCGTCGTCGTCGTCGTCGTCGTCGTCGTCGTCGTCGTCGTCGTCGTCGTCGTCGTCGTCGTCGTCCTCATCGGCATCGGCGTCGGCGGCGGCGGCGGCAACGGCGGCGGCGGCGTCGGCGTCAGCGTCGGCGTCGGCGCCGGCGGCGTTGGCGTCGTCGGCGGCAACGTCGGCGGCGTCGTCGTCGTCCTGTTTTCCAGCTCTGCTTCCACTCGGTCCCGGTAGCCTCAGGCACGCCGTGGGCTGGACTCCCCTGCTGCTGCGGAGCTTCCCTGCGGCGCGGCGGCGCTGGGGCCAGCATTACCAGCCTGTCGGGAGGCATGGAGGCAAAGCAAAGAAGCGCCTGGAGGAGGCGGGTAACACAAGCAACGACTTCAGGGGGACAAAATGGAGAATGGGGATATCCTCCGACTCCTCCCTCTCCCCCTCCTCCCCCATCCTCCCTCTCTTTCCTCCCCCCCTCTCCCTCGCTCCAAAATCCTCCCTCCATCCGCCCCCCCCTCCCCTGGAAAAGGCCGGCAACACAAGCGAGGGGCAGCGATAGGAGGGACTGAATCAGCGCGAGTTGCATCGACGTTTATTCGGCACAACGTCGCCGATATATCGGCGACAGGCTTTCGATAGCGAGTCCGCAGGTTCTTGGGCGGCGTAATGGGCTATGATTGGCGTCGATGCGCCCCCCCGGAACCTGAACCCTATAAGGTTGCCCCTGAGCACGCGAGGGGGACGACGACGAGGACGAGAAGGATGAGGAGGCGCACGAGGAAGAGCACACCCAATATCAGTCATTAGACGAGCGCGTTCCACTACTCGCAAAAGTGACTACTCGCAAATGGCCTGGATCCCCCGCGGAGGATCTGCAATAAATGATACATCAAAGCAGACACGTGTTTTTTTCTCACGTTTGCGAGTAGGCACTTCGCGAGGAATGGAACGCGCTCGGTGAATCATATCGGGCCGGGCGAAAGGGGGGGATAGCAAAGGGGGGAGCGAGAATCAGCTCAAGTAGCTGGTTTTCCCAGCGCCTCCCGGCGCCGGGAGGCGCCCATGTATCCAGGAGTGGGCCCGGCGGCGGGGCCGAAACCAGCTGCACGCAGCAGATTTCGTAACCCTTTCCCTATCCTCCCTTTCGTTCGGGCCGATCATACAGGAAGCTGGGGCGCACGAGCAGCCGGCTTCCGGCCGCGTACGATCTCTGGAGGCCACGCGCTGGACAACGCAGTCGGAAGCCCGTCTCACACGGCCTTGTACGGGGCCATTCGCTGCACAGATACCTGGCCAACTCTCGCGCTGGCCCATCGCGCCACGGAAGGAGCCCTGGGACACACAAATAAATATACACAAGCGACAGGATTCCCAATATTTCCAAACATTTTCTGGGTTTTCGTCTCCCCCCCCACACTTCCCATATTTCCACACATGTTCCTGGGAGTCGACGAAAAAATGTGTCCGTGTGTGTTTTCCCCTCCTGTGCCATGTGCTTCCATTCTCCTGGCAAGGATGGGATGCAGGGGTGCAGGACACCTAGGCTGCGTCAGGTCAGGGGTGCCTGGACAAACGGAGCAGAAGACATGGGAAGCATTCGCAAAACCGAGGGGCGCAAGGGTTCTTGGCCGAAAAGGCGAACGACTAAGGTCGCTTTGACTGTAGCAGGAAGCGGCAAGGGAGCGGATAGATAGATGTCAGAAAGATGATAGCGCGGCGACTCGAAGAGGGGCCAAGCCATTCGACAACCGCGCCGACGTTTGCTTCGAAACGCGTCCACACCCACTGCCTTGTAGGTGCTAGCACACGTGCTAGAGAGCACGCGCCAGGAACCTGTCCAAAGGGAGGCCGCCCAACGATGGCATGTCTCGAACCTCCTCATATTTGCGTTTGCCAAGCCAGGGCAGTGCCTCCTTCAAATTTCACGAGAGCCAGCTGGTGCGTGCTGTGTTCGTAGTCAACATGTTCGCGACAGGGGGGCCTGGTCCTGGCGCTCTTTGGACGCGCGCGGACGGGAGGGAGAATCATCAGCTGGATGACAGCTTCGTGCCAGACAGGCTCCGAGATAGCCCTTCTCTCTACAGAAAGGTGCTGCGTAGGACAACCCAATCAGTGCGATTGTCTGCTGCACAGCGCACAGGGGGCGCTCTCAAAAGAGACGTCTGGTCCGGGTCTGCCGTCGACGAGGAAGGCGGCCTGCGGACCAACGGGAGATTCGCCGACGACGTTTTGCTCTTCGAGCGAGGCTGGCTTGACGTGCGCGAGGCGTCCAGGCACAGCTTGGCTGTGCATCCGGTCAAGACAAAGATGCCCACGAAGAGGAGACTTGAAAATGCGCCATCGTGCTCCGCGAAACTTCGGGATGAGTTTTGACAATGTGGGATTTTCACGGCGCCGGGCTGTCCTGTCGGCGGGCTCCGGCGTGAGAAGGCCTTTGGTAGATAAACGCGTGTTCCTTGCAATAGGCAGGGCGCTCGGGCACCCCAGAATAAACTAGGCGACTCTGGTGACGCCCATGGCGCTGTACGTCTCGTCCGCCTGGACAGTCGGGGGAGACATCTTGCAGGGACAGCGCAGCGCTTGGGAAAAAATCCAAGTGCTGCGGGGGAGGATGGAAACATAGCAGGCATATTTAACGAGATCCGCACCACTCTATGAAAAGCGGCTCGCTCGTGGGCGGGACAGGCCGGGCGGAGCGAGGAAGGACCTCCTCCTCCTCCTCCTCCTGCTGCTTCTCCTCG